TAAAAATAAAAATAATTGCGACCCCCTGCTCTAGATATCTTTTTTTTTTAAATCACTATTTAATGGCAAAATTAATAGACCTCTATTTTTATATTTATAATTCATTTTTTGAATCACTCTTAATTTTCAAAATATAAATTTCTGGCATATTATTTCAGTTAATTTGCAAGATAATTTTATAAATTTAACTGTTTGGAAAATATATTATCAATTTAATAGTGCCTTTGAGTAACGGTAATAAAGGTTATTTATTTATGTATTCTTTCTTTATTTCCATCACAAATAATTACAAAAAAGTACTCCCTAAGGTAAGTTTAAAAATTTGAAATATGGTTAGCAACTATTTTCAACTCTGTGTGCAGTCTGTAAAAATAAAACTCAAATATTTTCCCTTGCTTTTTAAATATGATAATTCATACCACTTTTTTTGTTTTATTATAATTATCTCAAGACCAAATTCAAAAACAATTGGTACGTTAAAAATAAAACAAAATTTTTCCATAGAAAAAAAACATTGAAGTTTTATTCTGGCAAAGTAATTTTTTATTATGCTAATTTATTTTGGAACAATTCTGCAACATTATTTTATAGTTCAAAAAATAAAAAATAATATTCATTATTTTATACTAAAAATAAACAAAAATATTAATACTATTATACTTCAACTTTTCATTACACAAATAACTTAACATTTATTGTCTTAACCTTGACTTATTATCATTATTCAAAATGCTTTTTCTAGCTCAAATAATCATTAAAGTTTATGTAACTTCTGGAATATTTATCAATGCTCATTAATTATATCTCTTTGACAGACTTTGTGACTTATGACCTAATTTATGTCATGATTAATACCAAAACATAATAATTTTCATAATGTATAGATATAAAATTACTCTAGTTCCTAGTTTAATTCTTAAAGCTCAAAATTAAAGTCATAATAATTCTAAAAAAAAATTCATCCCATTGCAGGAAAATGGTTTATTAGTTTATAGTTATGGGTAAAACTAAAATCGATTATATGGTTTTAAAGTTATAGATAAGAAACTCTATTTTAGCGAAATAAAATTTTCTATCAATAATATATTTATTTTAATGAATGTTTACATATTTTACTAAACTAATACGACATTCCGATCGGCACAAGATCGTAATTTGAGGAAATAGCTGGAGGAGGCCCAGACTTGGTGTAACATGGTTGTAGCGCCTTGAAATAAAATGAATTATTCATTTCAAAAGGTACCCAAATTCTAACTTAAAGAACTTTGTAATATAACTTAATGTCAACACTTTGACAGGCTTGTAGTACTTTTAGACGTTCACAGACTGTTGTCCGGTACGGTTGTACGGTAACATTGTCCACTAGCGAATCCAGGATTTAATTTTGGGGGAGGGGCTTCAACCCGAAAGATTTTTTTTTATATAAGTATAAAAATGATTAATTAAAAAAAAAAAGAAAGAAATTAACTACCTATACGAAATGATGTTTAAGTGGTTCTTGAAGTCCTATTAAATGTAATTAAACGAACAAGAATACTTTAAGAGATAGTTTTAAGAATTTTTTTCTGTAAAACATGGTTATATTTTATCATTTTTGGGGAAGGGGGGCTTCAGCCCGAAAGCCCCCATCCCCTGTAGATCCGCCGGTGACATTGTCAAATCATTATGGAATTCGGTGACATATTTTACATCGAAAATGAATAGCAACTAAAAGTGTTTAAATATATATAATTTTTACTTGATAAATATATTGTGTCATGCCGGGTTTCAAATTTTTTCGGAAAGGATAAAAAGAATACATTATTCTTAACAAAAGATATAAGAAATGAGAATCGGTCATCCATTGCTACATACCAGCATTAGGAAGAAACCTCCGCAGCAATATGTAGCAACGGATCTAAACAGAACAAGCAACGATATTCGTTTTATGTATCTTGTAACATCATTCCATCAATTTTATTTTCTTCTTGTTTGGAATCGAAACCTCTCTAATTTCTCGAAAAGAAAATGTGTTTCTTAGCAAAAACGTAAGACACGTCTCTTCCGGATTACATCTCGTGAGCACCTTACCTTCAGTGCGTTTGTTGGGTATTAAAACAAGATAAATGGTGAAATATGGTAAGATATGCTTGCGCAGAAGGAATTCTCGCGTCGTAATAGAACTTTTTGGCGGTTTTAAACCATTTTAAAAACTAAGTATTCAATTAAACCTCTTGTGGGTACCAAAAACTGGAGGTTTTATCCATTGATGTTACTTTATAGAATACTTATTTGGTACAAGAACCCACCTAACATAAATATTTTAAGTATATGTACCGCGTTTCCGGATATTAATGTTAATAAGAATAGGTTCATAAGTATAATTTGATCTCTAAAAATTAAAAATAGACCTTTATAGATATTGTGTTCTCATTTTATTCCATTTGTACACGCCCACGTAACTCACGCGATCATTTATCTCTGTCAAATAATTACGAAAAAACACTCTGAAGCGTTAAAAATATAATGTTGAAGCATTATTTAAGGTACCTCAAGAATTCTTTATATTTCGAATTTTTCCAATAATTTCTATTCTGTGCCATGATAGATCTCGTTCTGATTTTACTCACGTCCTAAATATTGCAAAATCATACTTCAGGGTCTGAAATAAAGGAGGCAATTAAAAATTTGTAATAATAAAAAACACTTAAATATAACTTGTTTTAAATGTTTCTTCCCTTTAGCAAATTAAAAAAAAATGTAGAGAAAAAAAGATATATAAATTCAAGTATAGCTTATAAAAAAAACACTTGTATCACTGCCTCTCTTGGTAAGCCTATATAATATTGTATAAGACATTAATTTAAAAACATTTACTCATGAAAATGAATAAGAATGTCATTTTTATTTTAATAAATATTTTTATAAAACTTTCTGCAAGATATCATTTCAAAATGATTAATGAAAATTTTAAAGTTTTCAAAATCCTTAAGATTAAGGACAATAACATTTATACATACTTTGATTGCCCACATTTCTACTATGGAAGATATTTTAAAAATTTCCTTAAACTTAGTTCATGACAATGACAGCCACAAAACAGCGTATTATGAAAATCACTGTTTTAAATTTTTAAAACCTTAAATCATTGAGGTGACTCTAAAACCTGTAAATTAAGGTATCACAAAAAAAAATCATCTGTTTATAATAGCTCCTTCAACTTTGTTGAAGGAATAAATTGATTGATTTAGCATGTAGTTTATTAATAAAGTTTGCATAAGGAAAAATAGATACATAAATCACATTACTTTTCATATAAATATGGCTAGTTTCAGAATATACTTATTTTAAAATAAAATTTGTTTTCTAATATTGATAGATTTATTTAACTTAATTATAAAAAGCAGATGGTCTTCATAATTTTATTCAAGCGAAGGGACAACTGAATCGAGTTGGTATTTATTAAATACATAAAAAAATGTTGACAGCCAAGTTGCAAAAATTAAAATTTTTCTTATGACAAAATAAACAATGTATTTTATTATTTATGAACTGTATTTTTCTAAAAAAATTATACTTATACTTTTGCAGCATGGCTGTTGATATTTAATGAGATTTATAATTTAGCAGAAATAAATTCAATTTTATATTTATTATTATTATTTTTCAATATTTCATTCACTTATCATATATTATTTCATATAAATTAATTATTTATTCATGTTGTTAATTTATATTTACTACTCATATATTAATAGTGAAGTCTTACCTGACATTTGACAACCATTTTCACATATTTTGTAATAGTTATTAGTATGAAAAAAATCTAGCATTTTAGTTCATTTATCCAAATTTACCAACTTAAACATCATTTTCATAATAGTATTTTAATGGTTTTACAATTATTCAATGAAAATTATGAAGTATAGTTAATTATTTATAATAAAGAAAGATATTATTTTTTTAAGCTTTATTTGTTAAATTAACGAGTTTAGCTATATTAATAAATATCATTGTTAGCAATTATGTGCACAACTAATCTTGATAGACCAGCTACTAATAGTTCGTGGTACAGACACTTTTTATCAAATTATTAACATTCACCTGAAACTCTGTAAATAGTATCATCTCATTGTCAATCATTTTCAATCTGGAGATCGACAAATTTTGTCTATTTAATAGGACCTAAAAACTCATAAATATCCATATACTTTCCACTTGAATCGTGATATAATATGACTTGATATGATAAACATCCACTCCCAAAATAAAGTGGCAACATAGGCCAAACAGCCGAATATTTTTATAGGCCACTTTTATTTATTTTTTTCAAATTGGTGATCCTATTTCCTTACAGATGATAAAAAGATGTTTGGCGTCATATAATATAATTGGAGTGCGGTCAAATAAATATTAAATTTAAAAAAAAAATAGTATTTTTAATTGTTATGCCCTCATTTCGACCCATTTTGAAATTCTTCATCAGGGCGTGGTATTAGGAACTGTAGGAAGGAGTTGATGATGTGATATGCCTGATGCCATGCCCTGATGAAGACCTACAAAGTGGGTCGAAACGTTGGTGTAACAATTAAAAATACTATTTTTTTTTAAATTTAGTATTTATTTGACTGCACTCCTCCCGACCAACTCATTCTTTATCTTACAATTCAAGTGGAAAGGAAATGGGTATTCATGAGTTTTTAGTACGTAATTAAATAGACAAAGTTTGCTGATCTCCATTTTGAAAACACTAAGAATTTTCACAAATAAAATATTTGTAGGTTATGATGAGATGAAGCTATTTACGAAGTTTCACGTAGATGTTAATAATTTGATAAAAAGGGGTCTGTACCATGAACTATAAGCTAAAGTTTATATAGTTATTATAAGTACAATATTTGTATATAAAATATTATTTTTTCTTGTTCCCTAAAGTATATATATATTTTGTTTACATATCAAGGTAAGTCAAAGTAATTGTAAATTTATATTTTAATTTTTTCCTTTAATGTTCTTTCCAGATGGAGGAAATTTGCATTATAGAAGGAGGGCTTTTCAGCTGGATTGATTACCTTGTTTTAGGAGTGGTTCTTGTTGGTTCATGCTTGATTGGAACATTTTATGCTTGTACAGGGCCCAAGCAGACAACTTCAGCAGACTTTCTTCTTGGAGGTTCATCTATGGGAACAATACCCACTGCTTTGTCACTAGCCGCAGGGTAAAAATTTGTGGAATCATTATTTTTTTTTTTATATTTCTATTATTGGAGTCAATTCATCTCAATGCTTTGTTCTGTTTACCAAAGAGAATAAAAATAGAATATTACCTTGCATAAGTTTGATAATTTAAAATTTTTTGTTAAAACCAGACCAATAGATTTATATAACATTAATGATTTTGAGTTCTCCTGTTGTTCTCCATGTCCAATAATTTAATCAATAAATACGGAATATTTAAATATTCAAATAACTTACTAATATAACAATATATGATTTTACATATAAAAGTTCCAATAATAAGTTCAATATTATTATCGAGATAGGAAAGTTTGATTATGAAAACTTGAAAATAATTTAAACAGTCAGGAATTAAGAAAAAAAAATCAACTTTTTAAATTTAAGATCTTATTCTTATTTTAATAATGTTTTTTTCAGCTATATAACTGCTATTGAGCTTCTTGGTAATCCTTCTGAAATGTATACACATGGAAGCCAATTCTGGATGATATGCCTCTCTTTCATCCTTGTTGTTCCTATCACTTCTTATTTCTATTTACCAGTTTTTGTTAATCTCAGGCTCACATCTTCGTATGAAGTAAGTTACACTTTATTTATTATCTAATCAATTTCATATTATCGAATTGATTTATGTTATATATCATGTTTAATGTACTTATTCAAAGTTAATATGACAGAAAAGGACGTAAAATTACTATAAATAATATCAGGACTAATGAACCTCATATATATATATATATATATTATAACTTAAATCTGTTACATCAAACCAAATAAATCCTCCCATTTACATCTTAACAATCACTGAGTTTTATTATATTTTTCTGACAGTTTTCATAATTTATCATTAAGCTAAATTAAAGAAAAATTTGAAAAAAATAATTAAATCACAAATTAAGTTATTTTAAATTATATAGAGTTACTATACAGAAATAATAAAAATAAACTGAGTTTTTGTTTAGTACTTATATTTCACACATAAACGTTTCCTATGATCAAAAATAATTGAAAAAAAATACTAGAAATTTAAATTTAAATTTGACGATAGATTTTCTTATTTAACAATAAAGTGTTGACAATCCTTAATTTGGTTTTCTTTTTATTAAACATAATACTAATAGCTTCTTTGAAAGTTGAATTTTTTTTTTTATTGAAGTTGCCAAAAAAAAAAGATGTATGAAGATATGCAATTTCAACTTAGCCCTGCCAATGAGGTCTCAAAAAGAAATTCGGTGGTTAAAGTTTATTTTTTCGATTATGAACCTTGTTTAAATCAAGAAAAGCACAGTTTCATATGTCATGGGAGTGATATAGGTAAAAATTAGTGCTAAAATTTCCAATTTATAATCAATATACAAATTAAATTTTAAAAAAAGTTACACAATTAGAACAAAATATAGATAAAATATTAGCACAGCTTTATAATTCCTAAACCAAGCTTCTCCTTCCTCCACATAAATAAAAAATACTCAGAACTTCAAGAGATCCAATTTATTTACATTTAATAGAAGGCGTACTCACTAGGAAGAGAAATTTGATCAGAATTTCCCATCATAATTATTTAAATGGTTGTGACATGTTTTGATGAGATTTACAAAATTTGTAAGGGACATTCTTATATTGAAAAACACGAATTATATTAAAGTCATGATGAAAGGTTCATTGGTTTTAAACATTAGTTATTGCTTCTTTTTTTCCTTTCTTTTTTTTAATATATCAGATTATATAAAATCAGATTTAAGCATTACATTTACAATTTCAGTACTTAGAGAGGAGGTTTAATAGACATTCAAGGGTACTAGCAGCTACAATGTATTTGTTACAAATGGTAAGTTTACTAATTTAATTTTTGTATCTACAATTACATTTAAATTTATACTATTACAATTTTAGATTACGAAACAAAACTCTAATGGATTATCTAACAGGAAACTTCAATCTTTTAATTTATCATCTTACTTTAAAAATAAATCTTTATAATTATTTTAGCACTCATAATTGTTAATATATTAGTTGTAGTTTAATACTTTTGGATGAAAAATTATCTTTAAGTCAATAGTGACGTCTAAGATATCATAGAGGAAAAGCTATAAAAATCTTATCTTATTATGATTTATAAAAATTATAAAAGAGAATTATTCAGAGTTTTCAGGACCATTTATCATGCAAAGGAAATATTAATCATGTTTTCAACAATTTTAGACTAATTGAACCTCTCCAGGTTATTGGTATATATAAAATATCATCTCAATATAGAAAGGTGAAGGGCTTGAATAAATAGTGGTTTGTGGACTTGTGTGGGAAACAAGTGGAGTAAAGTGTTTTCACATGAATACACAGTTATTGTCTGTTTCTAATACTGCACACACTGCTAAACACTTAACACTTAATTCGCTCAGACCTCAAGCAAAAGGTCTTTGTTGTCTATAATGCCAATAAAAAAATATATATAAATAAGAAATAACCTCATTGTTCAATGGAATGTTTTGGTTTCCAGTTGTAATTTATAAAATCTTATTCAACTATTTATTATAATGACATAAAGTTAATCAGATTACCTATTGCAGTTTGCAATCGGTATTTAAAGAATATAATTTAAAGTATATAAATTTAAATTAATTGCATATTTAGTAAAACATATAACATATAAGGAGGAAAAATACAGAAAAATTATATTTTTGAAAACAGTAATAAACATTAACATGAATCCAAAATGTTCTAATTTGATTCTGATGTAATTTTTTTTTGTTTTTAGATTTTATATACATCAGTAGCCGTTTATGCTCCTGCTTTGGCTTTAGGCCATGGTAAGTAACTGAATTAATTCTTATTACTATTTATGTCACAGGTTTTGTATTATGATTATTATTAATGATTTATGTAATTTTTTTTTTTAAATGACTGAATTAATTTAACATGGAGAATATATCACATACATCAAACCTAAAAACAAATATAAAAGGAAATGAGCCTATCACTGTTAAGTTTATGCTCTGTAATAATTGTAAACAAGGATCTAATAAATACTCCATTGGAAGATTTATGTATCTTATTAACTGAGAAAATTAATTATAACTTTTCTTTTTTTTTGTTTTTTAAACACCATTTAAAATGAAATCCGCTCAAGAATTATTTTTAATTAAACAAAATATACTTCATATAAATCTCCATTAATTTCCTATTTGGATCGGTAGTTTTATTATGCGTTGAATGGATGGATCCATTGAATTGATATGTAATATTAAAAAACTAATAATAATAAATTATATATATGCACAATTTTTTTTTGTTTCTTTTTTAGCTTGTTTTAATGTGTTTTATTCTTTACAGTAACGGGATTGAATACATATGTAGCTGTTACAGTTGTCTACATTGTCTGCATATTTTATGCGTCACAGGTATAAATACTTCAATAGACATTTAAAAATTATTATTCCCATTATTTAACCAGACCTGGAATTGCTTTTTTTAGTTAAATGAGAAATTTCATATTTTGAACTTAAAATTTTAAAAAGGCTCTTTTCAAATATTGTATAAACACACACATATTCTGAAGAATTAAATGTTAAATAATAATTTTCAATTAATATTAATACATACCTTCTTCAGCTTTCCTCATTAGAGATCTAATAGCCGAGTACCACTCTGATTTTGACTGCTTTCTATTTATTGTGTCCAGTAAGAATGAGAATATATTGAAATGTGTACTATCCATTACTGCTCCCACATTTCAAAGATTATGAAAAGGAAAGTCTGCCACTCTTATTTTATAAAATTGTTTTTTTAGGTAGTCATGGTCAATAATCATACAAAATTCCCCCACAGCATCCTTTCTTAGCTAGTCAACTGGTACCCATTCATCTACAAATAGCAATTTCCTCTATTGCTTCCCAACAGTATTCATCTTCAGGGATTCCAGGAATACAACCTTTTTCACATTTTATTTTTTCATTAGCTCTTAAGAATTTCCGTGTAAGCCACAATGGCTTGGTATCAATTAAAAGATTACCTTCCTATCCTAAAGAAGTAATCCTTCAATAATATATTGAAAATCCAAAATATTCTGTGTATATTACATATATTACTAACTTTTACAATATATTGTTTCTAAAAATGGTGAAAAAGGTAATATTCCAATTTTTTTTTTTTTAATTCAAATGGAAAAATGAACTAATTAAGTGATTGATTGATGAAAGGACCTAAATGACTTTTAATAGATATAACAGTACATAACCATGAGCACCTGAGGAATAGAACATTTTCTACCACCTCCTCTTTACAATATTTTGGCAGTCTCTGGTCTACCGATATCTTATAGTCATTTATTAAAAAATGATTCACAAAAAAAGTTCAATAAATTGTATATATAACTATTAAATTATATTACTGGTCACAAACTGATAACTGGGCTACTACTTTAGGTATGGGACTCTTTTGTCATTTTGTACCCCCAATATTTCCAAAGTGCCAGTGCCTACGTAACAATAAACAAACATAATTTCAATATCAACTATAAGTTTTAATGGGAAATAATTCTGTTTCTTATCAATTTTAATATCTATATACTGACTACATATACAAATATATCATCGGTTAATTGAAAATAGTCATTAAGTGAAAATTGTGCTCTTATAATTATGTTTGACATCTAAAAAGGGTTTGTTGCATTTTAGTGTACTTTATATTAACAATCCTTTGTTTTAAAAAGGATTTTTTTTAATCAATAATAAAGTTGAAAAACATGTTCTTAAAAGTTCATCCTCATCAAAAATGTACCTAGTGATGTTTTCCTATAAACTGATGATATATTTTTTTTAGGTACAACACTTGCTTCTTCAATGGCTATAATTCAATATATTTTGTTTATCTTCTACCTTTTTATTTTATCTGTTTTTTTTTTATTTATCTTTGAAAGGGTGGAATGAAAGCTGTAATAATGACTGATACTTTTCAAGCTCTCGTTCTTGTTGCTTCAATTTTTGCTGTTATGTTGATTGGAAATCACTACCTTGGAGGATTCAAACACATTTTCGAAGCCAATTTGAAATCCCATAGAATTGAATTGTTTATGTAAGTATATAAATCATATGCTTTAATTAAAATTGGATTTAAAATTTAATATAATATGCCTTATCACAAGATAATGAAAAAACAACTACTCTGCATAAATATTACTCCATTCATAAATTATAATTCTTTTATAATGCACTATGTGCAGACATAAATTATCTAAGTAAAAATTAATTACAAAAACTATGAGGAATGGAATAATTCACCTTACTATAAATTGACAAAGTGATAATGTTTAAAAATATTGATTTTTGATCAAAAAAAAAGTAAATTGTTCACATTTATTAAATTATGTTGGATATATTTAAATATCAAGAAAGTACCATTTGTATGTGAGACTAAAGTCTAATTAATCACAGGTCAATCGTTGATTCCAAACATATATGGCTTATTGTATATTCCTTTCTCAAGATATACTTCTGTAAATAGCATTAAAAAGAGTCAAAATTTATAAGTAAAGAATATAAGTTAAGATATTAAATAATTAATATTATCTTTACCTAAATTGTAAAATAGAAATTTAGTTTTAAAATTACAAAGCGCTACCCTCCTTGTTTAAACCTTGATTTACTTATACAATTCTAAACAGAAACAAACATTCTATCATTCACTTTTCTGTAGTTATTTTATTGTTTCCCATGTTAGTATAGTATAGCGGCTTATTCTTTTAATATATAGCAAATATATATTTATATATATATTTATTGCCAAAAATATGTACTCCTGAGTAAATTTTTTTTTATTATTTAAATTTTTAATTACAAAACAATCTTTTTTTTCAAATACCAGAACCAGAGTCATAATTAATATTTTTTCTCTTTTGATATGAATGTTTTTCTTTAGTATATATCCATTGCTATGTATACATTTGTTTTATACTTTATATCTTAGTGTATTTATTTGTTTAATTTTTTCAGTATGGATCCTAATCCAACTGTGAGACTCAGTTTTTGGTCTGTTGTAATTGGAGGTACATTTTATTGGGCTACAATGTTCTGTGCTAATCAGGCTTCTATTCAAAAATATATGTCTGTTGAAACCATTGGGCAAGCGAGAAGGTATGTTATCAGTTAAATATGATCCATGAAAAGTGAATAAATGAAAATATGCTACATAAATGATCCAAAACTAAAATCTAATATTAAAGTAAATATGAGAGTGATTGAAAAAAAAAAAAATCTGGTGCAGTACACGCATCACATGACTTTCACTTACCTTTTCTTAGCAGAAAAAGATATTTTCAGACAAAGGGGAAGTAAAAGTAAAAATTATAGACACTATATTAATTTATATTTCATTGTGGGTATTTTTTTTGTATAAGTACAATTATATGTACAAATTTTAATATTTATATAGCTGTAATCTATACAATTAAATATTAAATAATATCAACAATAGCATTTATGAAAACCACATATGTACATTTACATAATATAGTTCAAGTCCGTATTATATTAAGCTCATGTTACGTATGGAAGCCTGTTGTAATCTATCGGGTGAGCTCAGATGCGCTCCTACTTCTTTGGTTCCTCAGTTACATCTATTAATTATCAAAGTCTTTCATATTGTATACTTAACTATCTTTTATATTAGAAATAAATGTGAAATGGTCAATTGTTTCAAATAAAAAAAATTAAAGGTACTTTAAAGGGAGCTAATATTGAAAATTATCCATTTAAGCCCCGTTAGAGAACATCAATCAGGATAAAAACTACATTTTATTTAAAACTACTTAATTTTGCACTAACACAATGAATTCAATCGAAATCGTTAGAGCCGTTTCTGAAAAAATCATAAAAATATGTTTAGTCCATGATAGAAAGAGCCACTTCCGGTGAGCCCATTTTGACAAAAAATTCGCTGTAACAACCCTAGCATATAAAAACCTTAAATATGCAATTTCACTTTCATACAACTTTTCATTTTTGAGCTAGACTGTTAACACACACATACACACAGATTATTTTATGGGACTCGGTAAATAACCAAATAGGACTCAGGGGGCCTCAAAACGTGTATTTCCATTTAAAAACTGAGATCCAAAAATTTTCACGATCACAATACTTTCCATTACTATATATTTCATATATCGGTAAGTGAAAGTAAAAACTTGTATATGGTTAATTTAGGTTAATTTAAAAACAAAAATGAAGTCTATTTCTACATTAAAATCATTATTAAAAAAAAATAATAATAATAAAAGGGATCACGTTTTAATTAATTTATAACATTTTATGATATCCATTTGTTGTTTATATGTTACTCCTAAAAAATTGACATTATAAGTGATATAACCAGATATGTTATGCATAGATGAGTTGTTATTAAGAATTTATCTGCATTACAATTAAAGTATTCTACATCACAAATGAAATGTGTGAAATAATAATATTATTAACTACTCAAAAAATAACAATTTTTACAATGCTTTCCAGAGCCATATGGACAAGTTGTTTAGGCCTTATTATTGTATTTTCTATTAACTTCTACACTGGCATGATCTTGTATGATCAATATCAAAATTGTGATCCACTCCTCAACCAGGTAAGTCATTGAAGTAATTAAGTAACAACTTTTTTATTCATTCTTTTGTCATTATTTTATCTATAGGTGTGAATGTGTTTTATATATTTCAATTTCATTTAGTTTTTTTTTTTGTTTTTTTTTAGTTTTTTTTATTTACCTATGTATGTTAATTTTCTTATTTTACTTTCTACAACTCTTTTTCTTTTATCTCTATTTCAGTTATCATTTGTATGTATAGATTGTGTGAATGTTTAATGTAGCCTTAATATTAATGCCCTCCAATGCGGCAGAATGTATTAAGTTTCAAATAAAAAATAAAAAATTATCTATAACCTCCTACTGTGCCATTTCTGGCATACAGGAGAGAATGGGGTTGTTGTTCTAGAGGTACAAACAAACTTATCTTAACCAGAGTCGGAAGGTTGAGAATCATTCCCTGGGTCTGCCACTACCTTCGAGTAGTGTGGGTTGCAAGAAAAGCTGAGTATCATCATGTTGGTCCTGGGTTGGTCTGGGACCATAAACTATTTTTTCCTGTTGCAACTATGCATTAATGAATAGGTGGTTAAAATTTGTTATTTTACATGGGGTGCTGATTATAAACTAACCCTTAAGTTTGGTTTTATTTTGCATCTTATATTGGGTTCTGTTTAAAAAAAATAATAATATTTTGCTTATATCTAATTCAAAATTAAATATCTAGTATTTAGTATTTTTAAATATAGCTGCCAGTGTATAAAGAGGGCATGGCTATTAAAAAAAAAAAAAATCAATATAAATTTACCAGAAACCAGAGAAATTAATTGGAAAAAAACTGAGTCAGTTTGTTGTAAATTAAAATATATTAAAAATTTGTAAATAAAGAAGATCATCATAAAAAGACACGTTTCATTAGAAAATTTTCTTTGAAGTATTTATAGAATGAGAACACTATAGTTAAATTGATTCTGCCAAATACTAAATATTTCAGTAAATTAATAACATATATTTTTTTTTACAATCATCTCTGATATATCGACATCCATATTGCAAAAGTCTGTTACAGTGACAACTAAAAATATTTAGAATATGAAACAAATTGCATTTTCTTGCTATGAGCAATATTTTCTGTTTAACTCCTATTATATTCTTAAGACAAAGATGTATAATGTATTGGATAACATTTTTTAGTTTGTACTTCTGAATTAGCCAGAGGCCAAGAATGAACTGAAAAGCACAAAACCTTATATCAGAATAAAATTCGTCTCACAAATGTTTACAGCTTGGCTGTCAATTTAGTTTAACTATAGTTATTACTTTTTTAAAATGATTACTTTTAAAAATCATTGTTTGATATTTAATATACAATCATTGCTCAGGCATGAATGTTCAAAAAGGTCCTCTAATATTTCTGAATTCATTTCTGAATATTCCACAGTTTCATACTGAAATTCACTAAACATGATAAGTATCAAATAAATTAAATTAAATGTTTCATGTTCCCCATGCCTGTCATGTAATTATTCCATGTTTCGCCATCACATTTGCTGAATGTCAACAATAAGTTGAATGGCACAAATATTTTTTTTATAGAAAATTTTTTTTTTCAAAAATCATAATTTAGTCATACTGGTATTAGAGAGGAAAATGGTTTGGCAAGGGATCTTGTATTCCTTTTTGTTTACCTCGAGGTTGATGCTAAGTATGAACCAAATCGAGAGTCTCAAGATTCATTTATCAGGAAATGATACAAACTGACCCAAACAGAAATCAAACCCATAATGTTCTAAACTGAGTACTCTGGGATCCACGACCACCCTTCTCAGCCATTACATCTTCTAAATCAAAATTTAAAAATATGAGATAAATAAGCAAACTAGAATTAAATTGTACATTAATTTTTGGTTTTTAGGAAATATCTTCTTCCGATGAACTTTTACCATTATATGTGATGAACATTCAAGGACATTTAAAGGGTATTCCTGGATTGTTTGTATCCGGTATTTTTGCTGCATCACTTGGGTAATACAACATTTGTATAATTCTTTAGTTTTGCTGATTTTGAGTTAGTTTTTAATTAATATTGTAGAATAGTCAATATTAAGAAAATAACGTTCATCAGACAGTTTTACGAGAATGTTGTATCAGTTCCTAGCCTACTTTAATTGGTCTATGAGAATAAATATTTAAATAATTGATCTTTCTTAGAACATATGCTATAGTTATAATTTATATGTGGAAATTAACAAGAATTCATAGAATAGCCAACCACTCATTCTGTTTTTCAGGGGTGATTATGCTACATCTTGCTTTTATTAAACTTTTAACTTTGTCAATTATTTCCCTCCCTTCTGATATTCGGCCGCTAGATTTTACAAGTCTGAACACTTTTTTTTTCATTGAGATTATCTAAAATATCAAAGAAAAAGAGATTGTGAACAAAAGATGTGTCCATTAAGTTTTATATAATTCAAGATTGGGTCCAAGAAAATGCAACTTCCAGCTGTTAACTGTAGATGTTTTGGTTGATTATAAAAAAGTATCATTCCAAAAGAATTAGTTTGCAGGTTCCTACCTCAGGACCTAATAATTCGCCTCAGAATAATTCAATGCCATTAAAGCATATGGATTTTCAAGAGGCAGATTACCAATATAATGTTGAAAATTCTTTATTTTAATTTTACTTAGAAAATTCAAAATTATCTTGAAATTGATTAAAATTTATCTTATTTTGCATACTGAATATATTTTTCACTATTGTGTTTGGCAATTTATGTTATGTGTGATCTTCATTTAATTTGTACATTTTTCAGCACTGTTGCTTCAGCTATGAATTCACTTGCTGCTGTCTTTATGAAAGACATTCTAGATTCACTGTGCGGCATAATAGTCCCTGATGAAAAAGGAGCAATTGTTTCAAAATGGCTCTCATTATGTTTCGGTATTTTGAGTTTTGCATTAGTATTTGTTGTTGAACAATTGGGGAGCGTGCTTGAGGTACTTAGGCAGTACTTTTATCAACAATTAATCACTGCTCTTAAATATTAAAATGTTAGATTTATTAATATAAACTACATGTTTTAGGTTGCATTAAGTTTTAATGGTATAACCGGTGGCATAACACTTGGCCTTTTCTCTCTTGGAATGTTTTTTCCTTGGGCTAATTCTAAAGTAAGTCTACATATTTTAGTAAAAAGAAGAAACCAATGTCACCCACTTTAAATTTTTAAACACTTTTTATTATGAATTTTCTCCTCTCATTTCTTACCAAAAATATCTTATTTCACTCTTTTAATGTTTTTTTATGATCATTAACATTTCTTTCACTTTTTTATATTCCATATCTTCTTTTTAACCACTCATATTTTCAATATAATCTTACCATTTGTTCTACGGTTGGTAAGGAGGTGATTTGACCGAGATCACGCTCAACATTATATATATATATATATATATATATATATATATATATATATATATATATATATATATATGTTGAGCGTGATCTCGGTCAAATCACCTCCTTGCACAACCGTTGACCTAGAAACAGTGCTTTCCCTAAATAGTACTGAACCCCAGATCCTTCATGGGTTGTAGTGGTACAGGTTTTTTATATATATATATATATATATATATATATAAAAAAAAAACCTGAGGGTTGAGTGTGATCCTGGCCCGACCACCTCCCTGCTCAACCGTTGACATTGAAACAGTACTTTCTAACAAAGTACTGAACCTAAGACCAGTAGAGGTACAGGTTTTTTCTTTTTTCATTTTTTGTTTATGGAAAAATGTTTTTAAACATCCAAATACGTTATTTTAGTTTCCTTACTTATACATCCTATTTCTGTATTTTTCCAAAAAATACACTTATACAGACAATTCAATGCAAGTCACTTATCAAAGTTTTTAGTTCTCCAGTTAAATAGAAAGTACGTTTTAAAATATTAATTCATTTAACCCTTAATAGACCAAGGTAGCAACTGCTTCCATTCATACCTTATTGGGCCACAATCCACACCTCTGTATCTTCACAACATTAGTACATTTGACAAAAGTCGATTTATTGTTATCAGAAGCTTACTATTAACAGTATATTGAAGATTATCACCATTGTTTGCCACACTGTTTCACATTAGTCATCAGACAAGTTTCAAATGTAAAAATATATATGTTATTTGATTTGAATATGAACTAAAATGGATGAATTAGTTTTAAAACATTGTATTTAAGTTCTTATGTGTTTTATTTCCTATTCTGGAGATGAATAAAGTTTCCACATGAATTTTAATGATGGTCTACTTAAGTTCATCCTGGCCTAATGGCAACAAATGTGTCTGAGGTACATGATTTTAAATTATATCTTTTTTTTTTTTACCATTTTTGTTCACAAATATGTATAAAACTCAAGGTAAAAAGATTTTGGCTTTGCTACCAAAATTTAACACCACATCTGATGAAGAAGAGAGCGACAATGAAGAATAAAATGTAGACGAATGCTCCAAAATGGCTGAAGCAAAGCTGAAAAATGAAAGTAATAAAATATTAGAAGACTTCAATATTGAAGATGAAAATTTCAATAATATTCAGTGCAATGAATTTTTGAAAATGTTTGAAGAAGTAGGAGATCCCATTTTCACTGGAGTACATGAGGAAACTTTAATCCCTAAATTTGAACTCCTTAAGGGAAAATAGCTTAATATCTCCAATGGTAAAACATCCTATTAAAAAAAGAAAATTTTCAAGAACACAATTTAGGTGAGCAAAATATTAACATTTATTTCATATTACTCAATCCCTTTTTCATAACGTATATCTGTTGTTAAAAGGAACACCTCTAAAATTAATTTGACTTTGAAACAATTTTGAATAAAAATTTCAAGGATATTTTGCTGTACCGGTGAACTAAAAGAGCTAGTGGAGCCAGGACACCAACAATTGCAGTCGCTGCAGCTGTCATACCAGACGAAGCAAGACTTAATGGGAAGCAACATTGACAAATATTAACTACAAAAGGGAAGTACAGACTATGTTTCCAGAATCAAACGGTTGTTTCATGCCTTGAATTTCATAGAAAAGAGAAGGCGTAATGTAATTTTTCATGGATTTATATTTGGTGTTTTATTATATTTTGTTTACAATATACTAATTTTTTGTTTTATATTTATGTTTAAAAACAATGTCAGTTTATTGGCCAAAGTGAAGTTAAAGACATCACCATTGATTTACTGTGATTGGCCAAAGTTTACTTAAAGATACCACCATTGTTTGACGGCAATTAGCCAAAGTGTCCTTAAAGACACCACGCAGTATTTTTGTACAGAAAGAAAAAATGAAATAGAACCAAATATACTCTGTTTATTTAGAATACAAAAAAGAAGGTTTAAAGAAAAATTTTCATTTCAAGTCATTTTTTGAGTGCCTGGCCAATTAAGGGTTATATTTAAATTATTTGATTACCTGATTTGAAAATATAGACCAGATTTTGATTTATTGTAGCTTTATACAAGCACTATCTGGTTTAATTTAATGTTTTTTTCTTAACTTTTTAGGGTGCATTGATTGGTGGGTTAGTCAGCCTCTTACTTGTCAGTTGGATTGGCATCGGAGCTCAGATAAATACAGCTTTGGGACAAAATTTATCTGATCACAAGATGATTTCCATTGATGGTTGTCCTTGCAATTTGACAAATATACTTATTGAAGAAATACCAGATGAGTAAGTTAAAAAATTCTATAGTTTGTGCAGGGAAAAATCAGGGCAAGAGGGGGCCCAAAGAAATTTTGGAGCTCCTTCAAAAAAGAAAGTATCAACATTTAAGCCACACATTTAACAGTACGAGGAGTTGGTTGGGGGTCCAGTCAAAGGTGAAAGGACAGAATTTTTTTTTGCTCAAATTTTGGCCTCGGTTTTAGGCCTTCGAGAGCTACTCATCTGAAACCATCAAAACAAGTTCCAAAAAAGTTTCACTTGTTTTGAAGATCAGAGATGAGCAGAATGAAATGTTGGAAAAAAGAAAATAAGGTGTTTGTGTACTTTCACCTTTAGAACTGCTCTCCTAACCAAGTTGTTCTACCATTCAATCTACTGTCAAAATTTCCACCACCATCAATTTTACGGTTTTTTATTTTTTATTTCTTTGATTTTTTTATGAAGGCTTTTTAAACCTTTTACCTCATTTCCAAAATATTTCAGTTAAGAAATCTAAAGACCAAAACGGAGCCTCAAGGTCTTTGGCCAAGTGAAGCTCAACGTGATTGCTTAGTCCACTTATTGTAGTAAGTACATTAAGTATGAAATTCAATGAAAAGCAAACAATAGATACACTCATTAGATTAGAAAATAGCAGCTATTCGGTAAGCAGAAATAGAATCCAAAATATCTTGATGAGTGTGACAAACTGTCTCAATGTTCAGCCATTCATGATTCATAATGTTTCTTAAAAAAGTGTTTAACCCTTTTTAAGCTATTTTTATTGATTGAAAATATTTTTTTTACATAACTTACTAACAAAACATATACACATTGTTATTCTTGTTTTAGGCTACCCTTTTGGCTGTATCGCATCAGTTACCTTTGGTATTCTGCGATTGGTTGCTTAATAACCTTTATTGTTGGAGCCATAGTAAGCATCTTAACTGGTCCAACCAAACCATCCCATGTGGATTCTGAACTCATTTCTCCCCCAGTGAATTATATTCTTGATCGACTGCCAAATAAATATAAAGAAAAACTGAACATATCTCTCAATGTTAGTATTTACTTTATTATTTAGATAAAATGAATTTGCATATATAGAAACACACATATTTATTTATTTATATTTCTCTATTTTCAGGAAAAAAAACCTAAATCAAAATCAAGTTCAAAAGAAGGTATTGTGAATCAAGGTTTGTCATTGGAGCCTGAAATCCATGTGAGACTGTGACTCTAAAAAAAAAAATGAAAAAAAAAAAAAAAGAATTTGACTCATCTGTGATAAAACCCCTACTATATATTATAAGTTAAAAATTCAAGTGACTTAAAAGTACAAAGTTATTAAGAAAACAAAAGATAAAAAAATGGATTTCAAATATTTTTATATAATGACAAACAAAGATGTCCTTCTCAATTTTATTTCTCTAATATCTGAACATAAGATTAACTGAAACATCTCTCAGTACATGTTATAAATGTTTCAAGTTCCTATTTTAGCAGCAAAGATTTTAAATTTAACAATTGAAATCCAAAAAAAGTATGTAGTGCGAATTAGAAGTATTATTTTTTTTTAAATTATATATGAGCTATTATTGAGCTGTACTTAAATTATTAATGTTATAAATAATGAGTAGATTATAAATGATTTAAATAAAATCTATTACACTGTTGTATTTAATTTTAAAAATAGTTTTAATAATTATCTATTTACCCATCCTTTGAAACTGAAGTTGAAGAGTGATTCTTATATAATAAGTGAAAGATATAAAGAAAAACATTAAAATCTTTTGCACCCTAAAAATAAAAAGCCTTAAAAGGTAATAAAAATCTATATCCGAGTAGAAAAACCTAGTCTGATCGCCCTTCAGAAAACATGGACACTCATCAACACAATGTGGCCAACTTCAGAGTAATTTGACTTCACTGACAGATCTGCAGGGGAGGAGCAGGTATTTTGGGCTGAAGCTCCCCAAAATAGAAAAATTGTATTTTTTGTTCATTGTTCCATATTTGTTTTGGTGTGTGTTCTAAGCTAAATACTTAACAAAACACAGTATATTATATTTTTAAAATATAATGCACATACAGCTAGTTACTAATTGCAAACTCATGTCAAGAAAAAAATATCAGAATTTTTTTCTATAAGCATTAATGTCCCTAGGACATATATACATCCACAGTCAACTTTTTTTCTTCTTCAATGATCACTTAAACATCATTTTATATATGTATTTTTTTCTTCGAAAGTAATTAATGAAAAAAAACCCACCCCAAAATTAAATCCTGGGTCTGCTATGGTTTGATCTCAATCCTTTTTTTAAATATAAAAAGATATACTGTTTACATAAATAAAATTTTCAAAAATCCTGTTTACCTATTCCCTAGTGTTCCTTAACAAATTGTAGGTTGGCATTAACAACTTAAAAAATTTGAATATAACATGTATTCATTAATAATTTTTATTTAAACTTAATTTTCCACAGTAAAAATAAGTTTATAACAATATATGGCTTGGTCTTAATATGGACAATGTCGAAAACAGTACAGAGTTGATTCTATCATACTAAAAAAAAATTAGTAAAACTATCTTGAAGTATTAAATAATTGCAAATTAACTTTGAAGTGAGAAACTCAAAAATATTTTATTTTCAAACAATTGTCCAACAATCAAATGATGTTGGTTCTTTTATCGCCAAAACATTTATATATTTTATGCATTTACTTGATTTACTTTTATACAAACTACTAGTGTCCATCGAATATGTAAAATAGAGTGAGTAATTCAAATGGTAATAAAAGGAAAAAGAAATGACTGAGATGCCATTCAATTCTAGGAAGAGGTTCTGCTAGGATAGTTTCCTTCCTCTAGCCTAAATTGTAATTATTTACATACTTGATGAAGTTCCTGTTTGTTGCTATCTTTTTTTAATTAAGTAGATCTGAAAATCTTATAGTAATTATAATAGAAAGGTTAACATACAAAATATTATTATTTATAATCAGAAAAATATCACTGTTAATTCTGGTCCAAGAATAAATAATTACTAAAAGAATAACATTAATAAAGTGTGCGGAAATCAGTAATGAATTAAATCTGGTGTTGTTTGAAAGTTTAATAAAAAAATTTATAACATTCTTCATTCATTCTTAGAATTTTGAATGGGTAATTGATTTAAATCAATTTAGTGTAGGTAAAATCCAACTTTCTTTTTTTAAAATCTTAATTCAAGGTAAATATTATTACATTTCTCAATAATAATCGTGTTTTGTTTCAGAATTCAATTAAATTAAAAAAAAGTTAGTGGTTTTGTCTCAATGGATTTTATGGTTTAATAATAGCAATAACCTCTTTTTGACGAAAATTTATACATCATGGTCTTAAGTTATTTAAATTTTAAATTCATTATACAGTTGCTTCAAGCTAGTTGACAGAACTGTTCAATTATAATATATCACCAACAGTTTTCATTGAGTGGAACAAGTTGACATCATACTTGTCCATGAAGTAATTAAAATGATAATTTTAAGATGCACAGTTTCAATGAATACTTAGACCCTACACCAATTCTTGATTTGGGCGATTTTACTAATAAAATATTTTTATCGAAAGTTGATGCTGTGATCCTTACTCAAATATTTCTCTCTCCCTACTTTGTTTCATTAGAAACATGTTCATATTTTATGGCTTAAATAGGAAAATTTCTTTGTATTCTATTATTCTAAAATTGGTAATTTGCGACTATAATTTTCTGATTTGAACATTTTTATCATAATACAGAAGAGAATAACTCTCACAACTACACAATTGCTCTAATAAACTTTTAACAATTATTTTAAACATTTTAAAATACCTATTAATTAGAATGGATCATATTTATATTCAAGGTTCCTGTTTATAATAGGAATTTTAAAACACCATGGACTCTAGCTAGGGGTGAAAATAAATTTGAAGAAAATATAAAACAGTGGAAGAGATAATTGGAAATTATTATTATAATTTTTTTTTTTTTAACAATGAACATGGATTTCTGTTAAATAGGAGAATGTAAAATATATTGCTAGGTCTAATAAATAATTTATTGATATTATGCTCATCTGCTACCAATTATTATATAAACACCCATAGTATATTTATTTATTGATAATTCCATAACAATTACATTTCTTGGGCATCAGAATCATAATGATTCCTTCTGAATAGGATTATTATTACAATTAATCAGGCTTTATATTTAAACAAACAACAAAAATCATCTTTAAAAACAAAATAACCCGAAATGCATATATTTTTCTATTAGTGTGAATTAAAAATTGAGAAATGAACTTAATTAAGCAACATAATGCTATATTTCTAAATTTGAAATTACAAATGAACTTAAACGAAAAAATATGCTCAGTGGCTGCTACATCCGGAATTTCACTTTTTATATATTGCCTTAAATGTACTAAAAATATAACATAAACATAAACATAAACTTTTTTTCTTTTTAATTATTACTATTAAATCAAAGTTAAATTTTCGAAAGCTCTATTAATTACTCACCTAGTGTTATGCCTTTTATATCTCAAATTCCTATGCCCACCACATTCAAAAATTATAACAGCTAGTAAGAAGGTTATATACCAGTGACTATTCGTAAATACTTAAGAAAACTTAAAATTCTGTTAGTCGTGATATTTTTAAAATGAATGTTTAACTTCTTGAAGTTTGACTGAGTTATATTATGGTGAAAAAGAAGGCGCCTGTTAGTATATCAAACATTTACTTTTTCATTTTCGTGATTAAAATTTACTTATTCTTATTTATTACTTACTTATTTAAGGTATTTGACTCAGATAATGCAGCTTTAGAGGAAGGTAATCATATGCCAGAAAATACTGAAGATAATAAAGATGAAAGGAGACCTGTTTTTAGGAATGCTACATTTCAGGTTGTTAAATTTAATGTGATTTCAATTTGATTGTATTTTAATAATGAAAGAAAGCTTTGGCATTTCTTTAATTTACTGTTGCATTAATTGCAAATGTCAATGCTCTCTATGTATGCTCTCTAGGTGCATCGATGTATTCTTATTATCATTATAATCCCTTTTATAATTTCATTACCTATTTCTCATAAGATGTTATCCAAAAGATATTAATGAGTGCTTCATAGAGAGTTTAGGGTAATATTTTGGGTACTAGTTCACAAGAGTTCCGCACGGATTAAGCGTGGTTCACAATCACTTTGATCACACTTGTTCATGGAATCCTGAAAGAGCCGAATGTCGTCGTCTTTTATGACATCAGCTATTGCCCCATCACACAATCCCTTTTCATGCATTTTTGAAAAATAAAAAGTATTCCCTTCATGTAACTTCCTCATTAACAACTTATTAAAGAATTGTGTATTTACTAATTTGTTAATAATTAAATTTTATTATAACTGCTATGAATGTGAAAGAAAAAGAAAAATATATAAAATATTGTTTGAGTCGTTTCTTCAAGGCCTGTTCTTAGATATACGGATCCACTATTTAAAATTGTTCATCGATTTTTTTGTAGATTTTTGGATTTATTAGATATAGAAGTCCACTATTAAGTTGTCAAGGACGCTTTTTATCAAAATAAAGTCAGAATAAAGATTGCGAGAGAATAGTGTACAATATTTATAAATAAAATGTATCTATCAATCGTTATGTAGATAAATATTTATTCCAAAAATTTCCAATCCCAATGAGAATCGTAGATCTGCCAGTTAGTTAACTGTTAACAAAATTTATTTTTTCGTTTAATCACTATTATTTTTATTGAATGAATTAGCTGTGTAATTATTGTTATTCGCAGTTATTTTTCTTGGTAATCCGAAAAAGGGGAATATTGTAGTCATTCGTAAAAAAAAATCGTGTTTATTTTCGAAAAAATAATTAAGGTATTGGGGAAACAACTGACGAAGAATATCTGATGATTCGGAGATAATGAATAATGGAAATCATCAATAATAAAAATAATATCATGAAATAGCATTCAGACATTCAGACATGTAATAATTAAAGGTTTTTATCTATTACTATTTCTTTTTCACAGATCTATAATATATGTACAACTTCGATTCAGGTTTCATGATGTGTAGCCTAAATTTCGAATGTAAGTCGGCTCCTGCAATATCACAGAACATGGTTAAGGTTATAGAAGTACTTAAATGACGGGAAACTTAATAGTAACTGACTCAAGAGATTGGTTGCCTTTGTTCTCTTTTGGATGAACACGAACGCGTTCGGCACTCCCATGAACAAATGTGACCGAAGTGATTGTGAACCATGCGTAATCCGTGCGGAACTCTTGTGAACTAATACAATATTTTGCATTATCAGGTCTATATATATATATATATATATATATATATATATATATATATATATATAAGTATTATATCTATATATATATTTTTATAAGTATTTATCGCATAGGTACTTACTATACGCTTTTATATTTGTTATCTACATATTTTATTTTAATTAATCTTATAATATTGTATTGTTTTTTTTGTCCATATACCTATATAAATAATAAGGTTATTTTTTTAAAGCATTCCACCACAGCTGGTAAGAAAAAAACCTGGAGGTCGTTGAAACAAATATTAGCTCATGAAAAGAGTTTACCTTGGCCAAAAGACACCCCTTTATGTGAGTCATAATGTTTAATTTTTTTTCCTTTCACTTACACACACATGTATATATATATATATTTTTTTTTTCGGTTGGCAGTACAGACCATGGAGATCTTTGACTGCGAGTGTGGTCTCCTAGACCAAATCCCGATTCCCGATTTAAAGTACGGGGTAGGGGGTCATCAATCCTATGCCCGGTTGGTGTGAGTTGCCTCCAATAGCCAGACGGACCTCACATACCCAGGAGGGAAGGGGGGGGAGGAGAGGAAGGAATCTCGGGCTGCGTGGCTTTCCTTGTTAGACGGTCACCAATCCAAGTGCTAGCCATGCTCGTCATTGCTTAACTTTGATTACCTTTTGCAAGTGCCTTAGCCTGCTAGGCCGCCCCAACCCCATATGTATATGTATATATATATACACACACACATTTTTTGAGATCCCTGTAGTCCAAATAACCAAATCTTGCAAAATGTGTATGCATGTTTACAATTTAGCTCAAAAACGAATAGTCATACTGAAGGGAAATTTCATATTTTAGGTTTGTACATGCCTGTGATGTTTCAGCAATTTTGTTGTCAATATCAGCTTACAAAAAATGCCACTTTATATCATTGATTTTATATATTTTTACAATTTTCTAGTTCTCAATTGTGATTTTAACTAAAGTAAGTTGAGTGGAAAAGCCCTGCCAGATTTGAGAGCATCTTAATGTTTGAACTCTTTGGGAAAGTTGAATTTTTGGGATTGGACTATTCTTTCTAGGGATTTTGATAAGTTAAAGATGATGGTAATCTTTAGGAGAGCTGTGCTTGGAGTTTTTGTTAACAGGATGGACTAAGGATTTTTTCTCAGAGGTAGGAAAAACAGAATTCTGGAGGGAAAAGTTATAAATGAATAGGACTGGGATAATTTCAGGGAGGCATTATTTTAACAATTTGACGATTATTCCATCAAATCTATTGGGGTTGGAATGGGATTTCATAATGGTGGAAATAAAGTCTGTAGGAAAAATAAAAATTGTCACTGTTAAATGGAGATAATATAGAAAAGTGGGAAGAGGTGGGAGAAATACTGCTAGAGGAAGAGGATAAAAAGTAGGAATTTAAAGCCTCAGGTGAAACTGGGAAGGCTAAAGAGGAAGAAGATTTGCAGAGAGAGTTTTTGAAGTAGATGCCACTTAGATTTTGGATCAGGAGCAGAGGAGAAGGCTTCATGAAAGTATTTAGCTTTGCTTGATTGTTGTTTGAGTCAAGTTGGTGACTACCATTAACCTTAATGCTTCATAGTCATCTGCGAGCTTGGTTCATTTATGGGCTGCCTCTTGTCTCTTTTGCATATCTTGACACAACTAAGGAGCAGGCCGGTGATGGAATAGAGATTAGGTATCAAGGATAGGGAAGAGGTTAAAAGTTAGGATATCTTATCATAGGATCAATAGAGAAGCAGGTGTAAATTTCATTCCAATTCAGGGTTTCAATGTCGGGCCGGATGTTATCGTGAATTGCAGAAGGTTAATGTTTCAAAAAAGATTGCAAGAGTCTGGATATTGTATGATACTTGGATAAGGTCATGAGATGAGAGGTGTAGGATTCTTATAATAATAATTCAATTTTCAATCTCAAAGTTTATTCAATATTTTATAATCATACAATTACAAAATTCTAATATTTTTAAATTAGATCACATTTATATTACACATAACCAGCATTGTCTCTATGCTACAAGAGGGAAGGAACAGAAAATTGGAAAGAAGACAAAAGGTTCTGCGTTAAATCGATGACATGTAGGTCCAGCCTATACAACAAATGTATTATTCAAATGTGTTGAACTGACACAGGTGATGAGTTGGAGCAAATGGGACAATAAAAAGATAAAGGGAGAAGAAGATTGACATTAAAATCTCCTGAAACTATTATGTTATTATAAAATGGTATAAATTTGTACTGGGTAGATTCAAAGGATGGGTCAAAAGGAACCATATGAGGAGAGGATGAGCTTTGAAGGAAATTCCATCGAAAAGGAATTCAATGTGAGGATAATTGGAAGGGGATGAGATATCAAAGATTCAGGATTTTAGGCTACTATGGATGTAAAGACCAACAACCGTGCCATTCACAGCTATCCATTCATGACTGATAAAGGTGTGATTGAGTAAGGAAACAATAGGAAGAGAAGGGATATGGGGCTTGAGCGGTATTTGGTTTAACATATTTGGTTTTATGTAGATGTGCTGAGAGAGGTGTGGTTGATATTGAAATAGAAGAATGTAGGAGGATTTTGTCTAATTATCAGGTAACATTTAACATGAATTTTTTTTTGTATTTTAATTTCACAATATTCATTAATTCATTCATTGCTGGACTCTATAGTCCTCGAAGAACCATGGCCTCTGCTAAAGTCTTCTACATGTCAGCAGTGAAGCACCTCCATCACTTTACCTCCACCGCCTTCAGGTGACCTTCATCGTCCAACCATCTGAGCTGAAGCTTTCTTCTCCCGGCTTTCCATAGAGCAGTTTTCTTGGCATTCTTGTGAGGTCCATCCACGTGCCGCAATAATCACATTCTATTGAGTTAAATGATTTACAATACCCTGTTCACCATATAGCTCCTTTATCTCTAGATTGGATTTAATTCTCCATTGATCCTCCACTTTCATTGACTCATACATTTTTTGGAGTACTTTTTTTACTTACTCACTGTTTTTCTGATTTATCGTCTGATTTCACTGTTATACTATACTTAAATGAATCCATATGTTTGTCTGCTATCAAAAATATATAAATGATTATGTAAATTAATGTTCTTACTGTAAGCTAATATACTTGTTGAGGATTCCTTCTTAACTTACTACAAACTTCTAATTAGTCAGATTTTGTCGTACTCCTTTGGTATTTTCTAAAATATTTCTTAATTCTGTCTTCTTTTCTTTTTTCAGATTCCAATATCACTGCTCCACCATCCTTTAAACCACCTAAAAAGTATTCAGATATATCAGGATTGGAAGTGAGTTATTTATTTCTTATTGTAAATATTATTAAGAAAGTTAATTTAAGTAATTTTTATTCTTTTTTTGTTTTTTCCTTTTATCTACCTATATCTGTATGAAATATAATGTAATTTAGATTTATAGTATTAGTAATTTTATTGAGATTTTAGTGAGATAATGAGGAAAACAGTATTATTTTGGAGTTTTATATTACTTATATTGAAACACAATCCTTCCACCATTGCTTTGGTCTATCCAATACCTTGCCAGTTGTAGTTGTCACAGCACTTATTAACCTTCTAAGAATTCTTTTGCTACTTATTCGCTGCAAAGCTCAATTATATTTAACAGACACGGTTTTTGTTGTATGGTGTTCTGTAGCCTCCAATGTTCTCCAGTTGACTCTTCCTTCTTCAATCCAAATATTTTCCACAATACTTTACTACCAAGTGTTTCATCTCTTAATGTACTTACCCAGGTTTCGCATTCATTTTCAATTTTTTTTTTTTTTTTTTTTGTCATTTATCATCTACCCTATGTGTTTTATATTTGTCATATCTTCACATAAGATAACCAAATCATCAGCATACTAAAGCACAGACATTTTTCCACCCATGGTCAAACATTTTCCGATATGTATCACCTCTCTATTGCTACATTTTGTGCTAAACTATATGTAGGTAAAAGAGAATTACCCTGTTTTGAACCTAAATGAACATAAAACTTTTCAGATAAATAATTACCGATTCTAATTTTATTGAATGTTTCTGTTATACACGTCTTTTCTAGATTTACAAATTTTTGTATTTATCTCTTGCTCGATTAGCATATTTTAAAACTTTGGACAGTCATTGAATCATAATGTAGAATCTACTATAATTATTAACTATTATTACTGATGAAGTTTTATTCGAACATGTATTATGTAAACAAGAAGATAGAGAATGGTCAGGAAACTAACTGCCCAGCATTATTGTTATTATGATACTGTACTGTATGTTATTTTCCTGATTGAACTCTCAACTATCTTCTTGATAAATTATTGTTGATTTATTAATAATTATTTAATGTTAAAAATAATTATTAGCTAATGATAATTTTTTTTTTCTCTTTCTAGGCAAAATATACAGATCCACAGACAAAGCTTTTTTATTCAAATACTGATGAATTTGCAACTGTTCGTACTCTTCCAAGTGATATTATAGCAGGATACTTAACCCTTCGAGGTGCTAATAATCCTATTGGTTAAATAGAATTATAATTTATAGCTATTATACATAAAAAGCATTCTAAAGTATCTGAGATAATTGGCTTTTTGTTGCATACATTTTATCTAAATGTCATTAAAAGAAGACAATTTTATAACTGGAGTGTTTGTAAAAAAAAAATCTTAAAATTCTTTTCATGATTGAGTTTGATATTTGATAAAGTGATTGTGAATTTAATAGAGAAGATGGGAAGTCGCAGTAACAATATTATCCATAGCCTGCCCATAATTAGTTGGCAGCCTGAGGGGCGAAATCATGTGGCACTCAGTTGAAAGTAACATTTTTTTTTCTTTACCATTCGATATTACTTAAAATATCATCTTGTAATTTATGTATGTACATATCTGTAAATATTTTTAAGTAATATCAGAGGATAAGAGAAAAATCAAAAGGAAAGTTTTAACTTAGTGAGTTCACCCTCATGCTGTCAATTAATTAATGGTCAAGCTATAATTTATTTATTGATAATTTATTTAATGATTAATCTCTATTAATTCTTTCAAGAGATCAACATTTTATTTTTTGTTACATATTTTTAAGAAATAAATTTTATATTTTATACTTTCATGCTTTATGTTGTAACCTAATTGATTAAAAAAACTCTTTTTTGGTTCTCCAAAATTAAATTTACAACACTAAATTATATATTATTAAGTATATGTATTGTTTTTCAACCTTTGACTAATTTTATAGTATATAGTATATAGGGTAACTGTTGCAAAGAGTTGGAAAATAATATTTTATTAAAATTTCTCTGAGAAAATGACTATTTTATTTTATAAAATTAATTAAGTTGTAAGTTTAATTAGAGAACATAAATTATTGCATTTACGCCATAAGATTTCTCACGTTCTCTTAAGGAGAATGTCCATAAGGAATAGCAGGACATCTGGGAGAAGAGTGTTCCAAGCAAACTCTAACGTATAAAAGAAAGATTTTAAACCTTGGAGCTCCTCCACTCGCAACATCCACAGAGAGGGTCGTAGAGTGGCTTAGGTTCGACCATCCAAGATTAACCCACTTCCATCTCAATACTAAAGCTGCACCATCTAGATGGCATAATTGTGATAGTATCCTGACAATAGCCCATATTTTCCAACATTGCACGGCTTACACTTGTATCTATCGATTTAACATATCTATCGAATTGGTGAATGACAGTAATGGATCTGATGTATCAATAATTTCCTTTATTTTATTCTATATTTTTTTAAATATATTTTTCTTTATACATACATGCTTACGTAATACATATTTACTCGTGTATTTTCCATATTATTATTATTTTTTTATAAATTAGTTTTGATCTATTTCTTTCTCTTCTATTTATTTCATTTTTATTTGTCTACTTATATAATTTATTTTTTTTCTTTATAGTTTCGTTTTTTAATTAATTTGACAAATATATATTTTTAGTAATTTTTTTTATTTTATGTTTTTATCCTTCCAACTTAATATTTTAGTATTAGTATTATTTTATTAACCGGGCGTTGATGACCTGCATCTTTTGCACATACAATGTTTAAACAACCAACCAAGGAGTGGAATAAATGGAAAATGGCAATAGCAGAAAACTATCAATTATAAGAATCATTAACGAATCTCTTGATTTTATACAATTAATTTAAGTATAATAATCACTCCTTGTATGGTAACCCTTAGGGAGCAGAATAGGTCAATGAATAACTTCAATCTTCTTTTTTGGTCCCATGTTCAAGTGTGGTTGTAGTAGGTAATTATTGTTTCTGTTATTTTAGCTATAGATTGACCACAGGGTTGGGAGAACCTCATTAGGCAAACCTCTATAAAGTGGATAAACTTATCCTAAAGGCTTTAAAAATATTTCATGATGTGAGAATATAAATTTAATATGATTTTAAAATTGTATGAAATTAGGGAGCAATAATTTCTCTTTTTATTTATTTTGCTATGTATTGAGCGTCCAGATATGTAGATGGAATATATTTTGGTCAACAGTAAACTTAAAATAGTAATTAATTATGGAAATAAGTATTTCATGAAGCATATAGAAATATTAATAGAAAGTAAAAACTCCAGATAACCGTTATATTGACAGATTGGAACAAGGTAAGGAAATTCCCTTTTAATTTAATTATTTCCTCTAACTTTTTGGTGATCAAATGGTTCAAGATTACATTTTAAATAACAAAACTCAATTGATAAAAACTAGTTGATTGATTTTTTAAAAATAATTCACCATAAATTTTTGATACATTTATTCAGTCATCAAAAACTTATGTCAACATAACATAACAAACATGTCTTTTTAAAACAAAACAAATTAGGTAATCTAATTGGAACAGAAAATATGAATTAATTTATACTCTTTCAAATCTCTTATACTCTAATTTACACGAATTAGGATATACTGCATCTCCGCTTCTGGAGTCATATATTTTGTGTATTCTGACAGAGCATAAATTAAATCATATTTTCTGTTCCAATTTAATTACCTAAAAATTTTTTTTTATTTTTTATTTCTAAATAATTCACAATAAATGTTTGATCCATTTATTCAATCATCAAAAATGTATGCCAACATAATAAACACGTATTTTAAAAATACAATTTAGATAATTAATTTGGAACAGAAAATTAATTTATAATCTGTCAAAATACACAAAATATATGACTTAGGATATACTACAATTTTAGTCTAATTTAGGAAAAAAGAATCATACTGACTTTGATTTCAGTATTAAATTATATCATTAATGAAATGAAAATTTGGTTTAGTTATGTCCAACTAATTTTCTTTCCTCTAATTAATCTGGAATATACTATTTATTTTGTATTAATATTAATTGACTATGGAAAAAAATTACAATTTGTTTATTTTATTAGTAATTTAGATACGCATGGCAAAACTGTTCGAGGATTATGAAAACATTTAGGGTACGTTCAGATCTAGGATGCCAGCCACCCACTCTCGCACAGTCTAACTTGCATTAAATTTAATGTTTAAATTCTAGCCTGATTAGATGGCTAGAGGTTCTTGGTCTAAATATATCCTTGTATGAGTCCATCGAAAGATGTGTTGGACAAAGGGAGCAAATACAGTGCTTGTATTGATAGAACATAACCTCAGATTATGGTTTACTAAGCATATTACACTAAAAGTGCAATATATTGTTCGTTTAATTCAAAAGATCACTAAGGAACATTTCATAGAATTAAATTACTATGTTCTGAGATGGCTCGATTTTGGATTGGCTTGGTTGTGTCAAATCAGATCTTGTAATGTAACTATATTTGATATCTTAAAGAGTTTGACATTTTTGTACCAGTAAATATAGCCAAAATTCACTAAAATGTACTTATTGGTTAGTTTAGCTCCATTAAAATTGTACTTAGTTACTTTTTGTAATACCGGCAATATATTTTAGTTTTAATAGTGAACTTAGCATTAACCTAATTTTTCAAACACATACTGATTCAGTTTATACTTTAATAAAAAAATATAAATTTTGAAATAAGAGTTTATGGTTTTAAATTAAAGTCATAAATTTATCAATAATTATGCTTTTTCTAGACTTGCCATTCGCTGAGTGGTTAAAATTTACTTGATCTGTTCATTGTTTTCTTTTTTATAAATTTTTTTAAGAGTAAAATTGTTTTACTCATTTCATGTTAAATGTTTCATAATGTTAAATAATACATAATGCGTAATATATTTGAGGTGCTTAGTTTCAAAACTGGCTCAAACTACTTATTTTATTTTTCAAAAAATATCTGTTCACCACATCATCTAGCTAAGTCTTATTGACCAAAAGTGTTCCAATTTAGTATAGAAACACATTCACACTGATGCAGTTATGTTAGTCAAATAGCATATAATCATACATTTTGGTGTCTTATAAAATTTTTGAAAATGGATCTTGCTGATTTTGATAATATTCATCTACATTTTACTTAAAGAAATATAAACGAGAAGTGCACTTTAGACAATTCTCAAATAAAAAAAAAGTGTATATATATATATATATATTTTTTTTTTTTCATATATATATATATATATATATATATATATATATGAAAAAATATACTGTTCTTTGTTATATTATTATATAGTTGTAGTATCGAGATGTTGAAAGTTTAACGATAAACTTTCATGAACAATGCATTTTAATTTATGACTCATTTATACGCTGCCAGTCACTGGCATGATAGAGAGGTTTGACGAGAGCATCACTGGCAGATAGGAATTGGCCTGGCAGGTTACCATTTACATATTCCCGTTAATGTGAAAAATCCAAGTTGTGCAGAAGTTTGATACATGTTAATTTATTTATAATCAACAAATGGCCGAAACATCTTTATTATTCATAATCTCTAAAGTGTTTTGTGCAGAGGACTTAGAAGTTCAAATATGTACCCAAAAGCTTCAGACAAAAAAACAAAACACATGGATTTGTTTGTGGGTAAACGGAAAGAATTTAGAAGATTAAGAGATAGTAATTGCATAGAGAGTTCCATGTAAATGATCCACAGGGACTAAGTGCAGTAATGAGGCTGACAGAACAAAATTAAAATTAGTCAAAAGAAGTAATACTTGACATCATGAGTTATGCATGTCTCTTTAAACATAAAAATTGATGCTAGAAAAATGGATTCACCATTCTCACTTTTCAATCATATTTTAAGGTATTTCTCTGTATTTTGATAAGTAGGGTGAAACAGTTAGATTTCATTGCAATTGGTTTCATACAACTTTCTAAGATCTAATTTTAAGTATATACAATAATAAACAGTATAGTTGACAATAAATATATTTAAACAAAGATCAAATTATAAATTAGAGGAACAAGCTTTCTTATGTTTTCATAAAATAATATCTTGTAAAAAAAGGAAAAAATAATCTGTCTTGTCAATAAATATTCAGAGTAATAAAAATCTCTCAAGGTATGGTTTGGGGGGAACTAATTCTTCCGTTTCTTGTTTTGAAAATCTTTTGCTTGATGCTACATTATATTGATACCAAGAATGTAAGCTAGGATCTGTAATATTTTTTCTGTAAAATCTTTTTACTTTTTCTGCTTCGGGTGTTTCATGTATATCATAAGGATACGTTTCATTCGATACTTGCCCTGAATGACGATCAAAAGCTGCTGTCAGCGATGCTCGATCTTTAAAACATGATTTAAAGTTGTAGGCATTCGTGTTATTAAATAAAACATTATTGATTATTTTTTCTCTGTAGCAATTGGGCACAACTTCTCTATCCCAAGAAGTATCAATTGCGGTTTCTTCATTAAAGGTGCTAGAAATGCTGTTTATTTCATCAAAATCAATTTCATTTTCAATTTTATATTGATTCAGCATTTCCTGCAAAATATATTTACTATAACATTTTGGTGATTTTTTTTCTTATAATTAAAAACTTTCCATTAGTTTAATTTTATTATAATTATTGATATTTTCTATCTCTCAAGATTAATATAAAATATTTTTGCTATTGTTGAAACTACGTTTCAACTTAACAATTAAGTATTTAATTTATAAAATAATAGTAATTTAGTTGTGAAATATATGTAGTTACTGTTTTTGGCCAGTTTTTGAACAAATTATTATTCCTCTGAAATCAATTGGTTTACTTATAACAAACAGTTTTAAATTCTGTTTTCCAAATAAATCTTTAAAGAATCTCTAATAAACATTATTTTGAAGCATTAGAATGTTTGAATTTTTCCTGGAATAAGCATTTGAATAAATGACAATTATGATATTTGTTGAATTTGGGATTCTTTGACTTATGTAGTCTGTGGATCCCTTCTAGTATATATATTTTTTTTCTTTTTTTTTTGCGGACTCCATCCATGTTTAGACATTTTACGTCATTATGTTATTTAATAGTTAAATAATAACAAATACAAGAAGTCTTGTCCAAGTAGGCTTTTGAATGAGCTATTAATGTGGGATGTTAAGTGAATGTCAAAATTGTTTCACACACTCTCAATAATGGCCACAGAGACTTCTAAAGGTTTATCTTTGACAGTTAAAAAAAAAAAAACCCCACATATTGCAGATAACTTAATATTGTCCTGGACAACCCAAATAAATTCATAGGACATTTGATAACTCCTTATGGAACCGCACTTTAGGTAAACATACTTTTAAAGATTATTATACAAAGAACAAAATATATAAAACTCTATATTTATTATTAACTTAACCAATGAAATATTTGTTCATCCTTTCTTTCACCAATTTTTTTTTTTCGAATTTCCTTTAGCGTTCGTTGAAAATAATAAAAAGCTATAGCTCATAGTTGCAGAAGTGCATTATAAAAATGATGTGCAAATTTTCATATACTTAATACTTTCTGCATATGTATATGTAAAACAAGAAATAAAATTTTCAATTGAAATGAAATATTGCTCGGCTGACTGTGAGTTGACCAGGCCTGATTTAGAGCGATGCTGCCAACACAAATAAACGATATAGCTAAAATTTTACCATCAGGTCTTCTTAAAATTGAATAATAATATACTAATATTGGGTAACTTAAATATTTGAAAGTTATTTGTTTATTTTTTAAGCAAGATTAATATTTATGTATACCCAAATTAATCACAAATAAAAAATGTCCGCTTAAAGCTCATTAAAATAATTAGATTAAGATTTAGAAAATCAGCTGTTACGTTAATTTTTTATTTCAAATTTCATACTTAAAAAACAGAAAGCAAAAAAAAAATATAGCAAAGAAAAATAAAGTAATAATGGCGGTAATCATTAGAAAAACTACTGAATAGTTTTTAATCGAAAATAGTTGCGTATAGAGGCTTATCCCAGACTAATGGACGTGATTCATCATAATGTTTAGTAGTGATCTAAACAGGGCAGCTACTTTTTCAAAATTCAAATTATTTTTAGTTAACAAAGACAAATAAAATAAAGGTTAATGATTTTAAGAAAAGAAGTTAAAAATACGATTTGAAAAATAAAATTAATATTAAAAAGTACAATTTAAAGAAGACAAATTAACAGGTATATTTACAATTTGAAGAGGAAGCTACAAACTTAAAAAACTTAACAGGTATATTTACAATTACATGATGTGATTAAATTTTGTACATATTTGTAGGTGTGATTACAATTTCGTGAAATATTTTGATTTCATATTATAAGTTTAAAAAGAAAACATATTTTGATTGTGTTAGTGATTAGCTTAAGGTGCGTTTAGATATTTTACAAACTATAAAAAACACAATTATCTAAGTTAACTAAAATCGCCTTTATTACTAAACCAAACTATTTTATTTTATTTCACTTGTTACTGACAGCAAATGGAAAATATCAAAAACAAGAATAAAAAATGCTAGCATAATGAGATAACCATTTATATATTTGTTTGTCCCATAGTTTGTAAAATGTCTAAAGGTGCATTTAGATGACTCCCCAAAACAAATATGAACCAATGAATAAAAATTATTTTTATATTTTGGGAGAGTACAATTAAAGTAATGTAATTATAGCCCTTCATAGGTGACCTGCTATCATGCTTTTCTCAAAGACGTAACTTGGGTCTTTTAGTTTGCGCGGTCTATAGAACTTATTGTTTTCTAGACATTAAAAAGTTTTTTTTTTAATTTGGTTATTTAATCGTTTCTTTATCATTTAATATTTACGAAATTGTTTTGTAACTGAAGGGTTTAGTGGATGAAAAGAATAAATAAATTAAAGGTACCTTTTGACGATAAACATCAACCTTTTAGTAGCTACTGTGAGGACAATAAAAAAGGGTTTCAACTTCGAACCTGTTTTTCTAAAGATAAAGACAATCAGCTCTTGGCAGGCAAGGAAGAAGAATTGGAAAGATGGAAGGATTTCTTCCGAAATATGCTAAGCTCTAATCCAAATCAGGAAGAAACAGCTTGGGAACTAGAAATGATGGAGGAAAAAAATAGAGCTTGAACCTCCGGATCCTGAAAAAGTAGAAGAATATAATTGTGAAACTAAAAAATAAAAAACATCAGGAATTGATGGGATACCACAGAAGCACTGAAATTAGGAAAAGGTGGACTGCACAAGGAAATATATCAACTAATATTGGATATAAAATATAAAATATAGAAACAATAATAGTTTTAGTAATATAATATTTATATTTTTTCTTGACATATGATTACATTCGATTGCTGAAGAATACATGGCTATAATTTATAAAGTGAACTAACATGGATTTTTAAGGATTTTTTTTCTTTTCTTTTTTTACGTTCTTACCAGGATTTTCCCGGGCCAAAGGGTGTGGGCGGAGAATTTAACGGGGAGGGGAGGGGAAAGGGGAGGGAGGGAGGAGGGGGATGGACGTGAACTCGTACTTTTTTTTTAAAATCTCATATTCAGGTCATCTGGTTGCCGGGCAACTTGCGGTGCTGTGCACACGCGTTACCCCATTCGGCCACCCCGCCCCCGATTTTGAAGGATTTGTCAGATAACTCAAAGAAATAAATATGGACCAATAAAAAAAAAATCCCATGTTAGAGAGAAGAAGCTTCAGATCGAAAGCATCCCTTTCGTTCATAAATGGGTACACCAATGTCGTTGTTTTTATTTTCTATTTTATAGGATTTCGGCCCTGAATGATTGTGTACTAAGTTGGAAATAAATATAAATTAATTTTCTATAGACAATTGTGGTAAAAGAGCTGGAAAGATTTTGATGAAACTTGTCTAAGTATTTTCTTTGAAACCCTTGGAATTTACATATAACAGTTGCGATTCAAAAATGTCATACTTTTTTTCAAAGATTTATTTTAAGGTTATCATAGTTTGATTAGGTTAATCCAGGAAACATAATTTCTAGGTACTTATAATTAAATAGTGATTAATATGTCGGTTTATGCGTATTTATTATTTTTGAGCTTTTCTATTCCAATTTTAAACTTTTGTTTTATGCTTATAATTAATGAATTGACAAAATTTATGTTACATTAAATAAAAGTATTTATATATTAATGTTAGTATTTCATGATTATATCGATTGTTAAACTTCCACTTTCACCCCATTTCTGTGAAATAATTAACCACATCCTCTTTTTATTTTATTTTATTGTTTCATAATTTATAACTGCACGTCTTCTTTTGAAGACTTTTAGAATGAAGTTTTCATCATTATTGAATTGGTTCATTCATTTGATCGAATTCATAATTTTGAGATTTGGTGTATGATTAAATAAATTGTAAAATTGTAGTCGAATATTTTTTTAATTAATACAGATTTCGGTGAATAATAATTTTTAATGTAAAGGTGTTGGTAATTGTTAAAATTGAGTTTGGCGATCTCGGCACTTAATGATCCTTCAACGATTTATATCATTTAAGTTATATAAAATATAGATTGTTATTAAATATCATAACAAGAGAATATGTTATTGATTATAATGGTCATAAGCATGAAAATTATGTACGAGTATCACAAATTTAACTTTCCTTTTATCATTAATCGTACTGGGGCGTTATGAACAATACCATCGATAATATTCAATCTAGTATTTTATAATAATTACTTCATTATCAATTAATAACATAGCACATAAACCTATTAGTTTTAGATTAGAACTCACCTCCTTTAGAATGAAAGATTATTTATTTTAATCACTTTAACTACTTCCTTACGTTTCCTAATCTTTCACTAGTTCACACTACAACTTACAGATAAATACTAAATGTTTTTTTCACTACTAAATAGTTATCAATATTTGACCTATCGTCAAACTTTAAAACTAAATGTAAAGTTAACCTTTCTATTATAAAAAAAAAGTTGCCGCCAGTTTTACTATTGGAAAATCTGATTAATATAACTAATTCTATAATGATATAGAGATGGTTGACCGTTGATATAATATGAGAAGGAGTTAGTCGAGGGTGCGGTCAAATAAATAAAAAAATTAAAATGTATAAATTAAAATAATTTATACATTTTAATTTTTTTATTTATTTGACCGCACCCTCGACTAACTCCTTCTCAAACTAATTCTATAGTTTTATTTTTAACACTATTCAATACTTTGCCAGTTTCTTATGATTTATTTATTTCGTTTGGCGAAACATTTATGGTTGAGTATAAATTGATATTTAACTATTTACTTTACTCTTATTTCTTATATATTTTTTAATTCCAGCATTTACTGCGGCCACATTTAGTCCTATTGTGCGCCGTCATATTCTTTGTTAAAACAAAATAAAAGCCTTTACGAAATACTGTTCGGATCCATCAATTTGCATAACTTAGGGTCATTAGTACGATTACAAAAAATGGAAATACCGCATCCTAGCTTAAACAAGACATCTGCAAAATGTGTGGTATTCGTTTTTATCCTCCATACCACAGAACGTACAGATCGGTGCCTCAGTTAGCCCCGGATTAAAGAGGTGTTTATTCAGTGGATAGTGATCCGTATACATACACCTTAATCTGTCATACACCTTAAGTTCTCCTTTCTATGAGTAAAGCTATTTCACTTCTCATTTGACAGGATCCTAGCAACAACTTAGAATGTTGTTTCCGAGTTTTGTGAATGTTGACACGTAGTTTACTTTCTATGTATCTATCTATCTATCTATTTTGGCACAGCTTAGGCCTATGACTCAGATTCTTATTATTTCTTCTTATTACCTACAATTCCTGAGTATCAGGAACCCTTTACATGTTGGTTCTGGAGAAAATGTTTAAGTTGCTTTTGCATTCATACACCTACTTATACAGGGTTTTATTTTAGACAGCATATCCACTTAGCTATCCGTGAATGTCGATATTTGCCTATTCTTCACTCCCATCTACATTAGAGATACGATACAGACATTGATTGCCTGAAATACTGAAGAATGAATACCAAAAGATATGAATACTCCTTCTATGTGTTTGTCCATTGTCCAAATGCCAGTCTCTGGAGTCTTGCTCACTCAGGGATCCGTCAGTATAGCAGTTAACACCATAACATGGCCAGTGCGAGTTAGTCCTGTCGATCCTTACACAATAATATACGACTCCATAGTTTTTGAATAAAAATGGTGGTACCAGTTTTAATCCTAGATGGACGGGAAGAAATTTATTTCCTGGCGAACCGGCAGGTTGATTTTTTTTCCCACTCTGGTTAGAATGTATCTCCAGAAAAACCAACCTTCCTCTTCTCGTATGTTAGGACGATGAGGTAGGGGAAAAACGAAAAAAAAAAGTTCTTAACTTAAAAGTCAGAGTCCATTGCCAGCAATATGCCAAGCTATTAGAAATTTCATTGTTACTTGTTAAATCCAATGTTTCGGTATAAAACTAATAATGTGAATGATTGTTATTAGTGCCCTTACTGATAAGAGAAAGTAGAGACGTTCAGCCAACCCTAGACAGCTACAAATAGTAAAGATTGCCGCCTGGTTAAAACCAGAGTTTAAGAGCCATGTTTCATTTTTTGAGACTACCACGATAAAAAGATTAACTGACCCTGATTGCAATCGGCTTTTGAATGTTAAATAATTTATTAATTAATCAAGATAAGTCCATGTATTTCACAAATTATTTCTAGCTACTGTATGCATGCGCATTATATATACAAATTGGTGTAACGTGGCTTAAAATAAATAAATTGGAAACTAAATATTATGTACCGAAACAGAAGAAAGAAATATATACATTGTTTTTTAAATGAGCGAATGTTAGGGTTTAAAAGGTTTTCTAAAACATTTTCTTGGGCTATTGCGGGATTCAAATATCTGATGGTCGCATAACTGTTTTCAAGAATTCTTTAATCATATTAACCTAAAAATAAGTTATTTAGGTATTATTAAATATAAACAGCCATGTTTCACCGTTATTTTTTTCGCTGTTTCTTCCTGTTCTTCAGATCTTTCTTTTTGTTCTTTTAACAATTCCTCTTCCATCTCCTTAATATCGACGTCAGTAGGATCTAAAAACAAATTAGTTATAACAATGTGTTTTTTTTTTCACCTACTGCTAGTTATAAATTATTGGACATACTAGCTTCTTCGTTCGGGCTTATGGTGTTGATTTCTATAATCGATTCTTCAGTTTCTTTTGACATTTCATTGGTAATGTCGTTTTCACATTGTTCATTTTCCATAGCTGTATCTGTAGTATCTTTTATTCCTTCACTGTCTACAGATGTCTGATTTTCTTTACGATCATCAGTTTCTTGACATCCTATTTTCAACTTTTCAATAAGCATATCTATTTGTTCCAATTTTACCTCGCAAGGTTCGATTTTAAGATCGTTAATTATTTGAGCCGTTGATTGATTTGTAGATTGCTCCCCTTCTACAGTATAGTAAGAATTTCTTTTTTTAATTCTTAAACTTCTTCTAGGTGTTATGCAAGAAATGGTTTTAGTATTACTTTTAACCTTTACCTAAAATGCAAACAGTATTCTGAAGGAAATCATAAATGTTAATTTTGTTCTAAAGGTCAAAAGTTTTTGGTTAAATTTAAGTTACATCATATTTCTTACTTTATTTTTATAATTATTAAAACTTAAATAGTTTTCTCTTATCATTGATCTTAAGGGAACAGTTCTTAGGAATATTTATAATACATTTCGAGTTGTAGCGTAAATAACTTAACAAATGAATCTATCTGCCTTCCTAGGCTCAAGAGAAAACTGATGAAGTCTAGTATTTGAAGCTATGGATATTTTTGCATGGGAAATGAGGTTAATATCTTAGAAGGTATGGTATGGTTTTATATTGCCGTAATGCATCTGAAAAAGATTGAATATGCAATCTTAGTCATATTTTCTCGTGGCCTCCTTGGAAGCCATCTATCATTGAACGTTAACACTAACTGCGATACTACTATAACCTGTCGAAATAATCGATTAATTAGCAAATGGGAAATCGTATCTAAGTTTGCAGTTGTTATAATGTCCTGAAGGAAGAAGAGTGAGCTAATATATGAAGCAACTTTTCAATAGCGGTGACCTCTACCATTTCTTGAAGCAAACCTCAGAATAATCTCGTACAAGTACAAACTTCGTTGTAACCTCATCAACCGAAAAAAGCTCAACAAAAAAGTGCAGTAAGCTCGATTCTGCAACACCTGAGAACCACACCATGCATTACATGTAACACCATTATCATTCCCAATGCGAAAAGGCAATACTATTTGATAGCTTTCTTTACAACTTAGAGCTCTGTACAACCAGCTCTGTTAATTATATAATGGACACACAAAAAAAAAAAAAAAAAAACGGCAGCGTTGGTTGGGTGGTATGGAATTATACATTCAAAATGCCAATAGTAAAATAAAAATAAACTGTTCCTTTCTACAGGAAAAGTGATTGGACAAATTTAAAAATTACCAATAAAATTTCCGAACCAAATATAATACCACATCTCTTACCACGAGTTTACTAAGCTGTTTGTTTGTGTGAACAATGTGAGTTGACCAGGAACCATGCTATGTAGATGGTTCAAAAGCGTTAGTCGATAAATTGAGGAAGGAACGTTAACTTCCGAATACCCAAGAAATATTGTTCAGTTTTTTATGAAAACCTCTGATTGATCATCTCTTATGTGAAAAAGTATAACAGGCTATGTAGAGGTTTTTTTTCTCTTCCTTCTTCCTGTAACCAATCCTTACAATCCAAAATCCTCCGTAAAATCCTAAATGCTCCTTATCATGTAACAAATAAAATTATCCATAAAGACCTCAACATTCCTCTTGTGAAAGACTTGGCCCGAACTAGATATACCTCTTTTCATTCCACACTCTTTGGTCACCTCAATCCTCTAGTTTGTAATCTTTCATCCAACACAATTCCTGACAACTCTTCGAGGCGTCTGAAAAGAAGATGGCCAAGAGACCTCCTAAATTAATTTATATTTGAAGTGTTGCCAATTGGTACCTTCTTCACAAGCAACTTCATGTAATATATTCCTATATCAAATTTACTGGTTGTATATTTGATTATAGTTGTAAATTTCAATAAAATGAAAAAATTATAAATAGATTATTTTTTGTTAAAATTTTAACTCTTTAAAAATCCTAATTTTACGGCACCATTTATACATTGATTTAAATAGTAAATTTTTAAACAAGATACCTCTGGAAAAGAAGTTAAATAGTAATATAAAATTCAATCTAAGATAGTACAGTGGGAGGTCTGTGGTATCTAACCTTTAAATATATATAATAATTGGTAAATGGTTGACTGTCGTGAATAATGGAGAGAAGAATAGTTGGGGTAATCAGTCAAATAAGAAGGCAAAAATAAATGATAATATTTATTTTTGCCTTCTTATTTGACTGATCACCCCAACTATTCTTCTCTCCTTTAAGTATGTAATTCATATTTTTTAAGCAGATCGGTTCCCTTCTGGATCCGATAGAAATACCAATATAAATATCAAATATACTCAAAAGAAATAAATGCAATTCCTGGAACCTCCTAACCGCCATAGAAACGTGGGAGCCAGGAATATAGCAAAACTTTATTTTGAAGAGATTTGGTGCAAAACTTAATTGATTTTCAAATTATAGATAGTTGATATGTGTAAGTATATATATACGTACTGAACCGAAGTTCATTGATTTATTCAATTTCTAATGTTTTATATACATTATTTGATATGGCTTAACCGAAAGAAAATTTTCTCGTTATCGTCCCGTGACATTTCAATAGCATATTCGTCCATTATTATAAAAACTATTAACTCTTTGATTCAATGAACCTCTTTGTGTTTATTAATCGAATCGGTTAATATGAGGATTAATACAGAAGTTATAATTTTTTTATAAAATAGTTGCACCTGAAAAATGATTTGATTATGGCATCAGCGGACTTATCTCTGATACCATCTTCTTGGTATGTAGATGCTTCAATTAGCTTTGTGCGGTAAAACAATTAATTCATTATGTTAAGTTAGTATATTTTTACCAGAGCAGTTTTAAAGGTTAGATTAAATGTTTAAATATGTTGTAATTTAGAATTAAGATCAATTCCTTCTCCCGATGCGGAACTGTATACAATTTAGGAGTCGACTTATATAATTCAGTGGTGGACCTAATACATTTTATCATAATTACAGTAAATTACTTATTTACCATAGCATTTGTATATATTATACACAAGCATGATCAAGATCTTGGCATGACTTAACTTCAACATACAAGATGTATCCATGATACGCTGTTTTGCTTATTTAGGTTATACCATTAAAATTTTACTTATAAATATTTAGAATAAAGGTTTGAATACGTTCATCGCTTAATTGTTTTATATATTTTTTCGTTAATAGTGGTCATGAAAAATTCATTTTTTTTTGTTAAAATGCTTAAAAAAAAAAATGATATTCCAATGATATACCAAATCTACAGTGTCACGTACGTAATCTATTGGCATTGAAATACATGGATGTCTAATTGTCCTCCTGGTACAAGAAAGATAAGTTGTTTTTCACTGTCTAATGAATTAATGTGTGTTATTTTGAATTTTGTCTTTTCATTTATGGCGTGTTTTTGATTTCTCGTTGTAAGATCTTATGGCATTTGAATGTAAAAGCTCTATTGATAATGTGAATTTAAATTGTTAAGTGTATATTAGCATTTAATCGAAAATAATTACCAATCATATAGTTACCTATAAGAATACTGCGTTATAGGTAAACATTTTGATATTATTATCAGCACCGGATTATTCATTAGAATATTAAGGACAACGTGGTCTTAAGCCTTTTAGATATTTCATGCTCGTGAAAAAAAAAATACATTGTAGTTTTAATTTGCTGTACAGAGATTTTAAGTTTATTCCTAAAGTATAAATACTTTCATCTGATAAATAATTAAGAAATATAAGGATTTTTTCCTCCTAAAATATAACTCAAATACACTGTTTGACCCAGACAACTCTGCTACTCAACATTACTCGAATACGTTTTAATATAATTTCTTAGACTTAACGCGGTTTAAATATTAAAGTTGGTTGCATTTACAACATTCAATCAGTTTCTTATGATCAACTAGTTAGTGCAAATCAGGAGATTAACGAGAAGAAATGTTCGCAGTACATATCTGTATCCGATAGATAAAGGATAATATGTCACATTTTTGTATACGTTCAGGTGAGCCATTTTTCCATATATTTGAGCTAAATTTCTTTCTTAGTTACTAAATTATTTAATAAAAAAATGGACCTGATGTCCTTTCAACTCCGGGGCGTAGGTATGGATATACAGACTTTTACATAGATTATTCCTGCTTTGCTATTACATAAATCGAATGTTCCCAACGATAACATCCAGAAATTCTTTGTAAATTCATTGCAGCACAACACACGGATTAATTCCAGTTAAGCACATCCCATTGAATCAAAACGTGTTTGAAGAAATGTAAAAAGTTATATTCCGTGGTACAGACTCTTTTTTATCAAATCATTAACATCCGGCTGAAACTTCATAAATAGTTTCATCTTATCATAACCTAAAAATATTTTATTTACTAAATTTTTCGAAAATGGGGCGTTTTCAATCTTGAGGTCGGCAAACTTTGTCTATTTAATTAGATTCTAAAAACTCGTAAATACCCACTTGCTTTACTCTTGGTTCGTAAGATAATTTGATAACAAAATCTATAAAAAAAGGTGGCCTACAAAAATATTGGGATGTTTGGCCAATATAACCTTGTCACTTTGACAATACGGGGGTGTAGGTCACGCCAAATGGCTCAATATTTTTTTTAAGGCCTCCTTTTTTCCTAACTTTGTGTGGAAGTTATCTTACGATTCAATTTGAAAGCAGGTGTGTATTTACGAGTTTTTAGTCCATAATTAAATAAAAAAAGTTTGCCGACCTCCCAATTCCGAGAAGTTTCGTAAATAAGATATTTGTAGGTTACGATGAGTTGAAGCTATTTACGAAGTTTCCAGCCGGATATTAATAATTTGCTAGAAAGGGGTTTGTACCACGGACAATTATGCTAACGGTGAGAACTGTCAAGAAAAAATTGCACTAAGGCGATACCTTAACTGATTTATATGAGTGGATGAATAATTCCAGAAATGTTCAAAAAGTGCTAAATGCATGGATACAAGTAATAATTTCAGCACTTTTAACAACTAGGGGTTAAAAAACACAGTGATTTCAATTCATGGCCCTTCTATAAAACTAAACACTAACCATTTAGCTGTACTACTAATAGAAATATGGAAACCTTTGAAATTAGTTTCCTAATTTAAAACGGAATAAATTAAAAATTAATAAATCAGTAGTGATGACAGGTATATTCCAATTGTGAGTAGTGCAGTAACTATCAACTGTATTTTTTGTTGATATTAGTGAATGGTTGATCAAGATAAAAACAAACAACTGTATGGATGATAATTACTGACCATTAAAGCCTAGTACACATTGGTAG